TATTAATTAATTATTATATATATATATATATATATATATATATATTCAAGATAATTGTTTACATCGCTAACTGCATGCCGTATTTTTAATGAACTTACAACATAGCTGGTTGAAAGCTGAAGTTATATATTCTTTTCCTTAAATAAATCGATAAACAAATGATTAATCAATTAATCCTCTTTACGAAAAATATTACCTCAGAAAAGGGTGTTTCTTCGGAGATCTCAGATAAGGATAAATAAAATTCCAAGGTTCGTGTGCCACCTTGTCATGCGTATATTTGAAACGCACAGTAAAAAGGCCATATACATGTACGTGAAACCTTTCTACAATCGTTTATCAACTGTCAAATACAAACTGATGCGGATAGAGGAAAGCAGTAGATTCCTATTCGCCGTACAATTCATTTCCAAAAATGCAATTAAAGTTTCATCAATACAAATGATCTCTCCTCAATCCTTAGGACTTATTTATTCAAGAAGCCATCATTCTCAACGGAGGCTGCAGACTTGCATTACGTAACAGTGTCTTCATATAGCATACGAACAAATTGCTTTAAATATAAATTTAACATAATCGGATTGTATATTACGATATTGTATACGGTACTTTCTCTTACGCTCGGCACCTGTCCTGTCGACTACTGAAAACATTGCGGGGGAAGTTGTACATTTTACAAAAGCTTCATATAGCAATTGTAACGTAATGAACAGTGGCGGTCTTTCGAGCTCCTAATGCTAATCGAAAATAAGCAAATGTTTCGTAGCGCTTTTTATGTGATTGCATTAAAATTAAATAATAAAACGTAAAACGTATTACACATGAAACTAGTATCTTGCGATCGCTTCCTCTTTTTTAGACAATATCAATGCGTTGGCCTGTATCTCCTCAAACACTTTGTGGATCAAGCACATAATAATACAATTTTCCCAGATGATCGAGTGAGCTCATTCGAAGCTCTTTCAAGTGTCGAAAGATTTCCGGTATCTCGGTAAATTGATACGTTATATTTGCTTATCATTAATATTAATTATATGGTATTACCGATTCATAGCGTGAAATTGTTTCTTTTCTCTTCTTTTCTTACACGTGTGTGACATAAATTGTTTAATTTTTTTCGTCTCTTGAAAATTATGTGTGTGTGTGTGTGTGTGTGTGTGTGTATAATTTATCACTGTGTCTCATAATACTGAATACCACATGAACAAAGGCTCACTTATAAAAGCGATCAGACAAAACAAAATTCTTGGAGCCTCGAGGAATTAATAAATAATTTTCGACAATGTGTCTCAAGTAAATCTCGATTTAAATTCGATGCGTAATTCGCTTAATATTGACAGATCCAGCCTTGCGAATTTGTTAGAAATTTTCAATGTACCGAGTATCGGGCATTAGAAATAAAATGCGCACGAATTTAATGAACAATAATACAATTTACTAACCGTTTACATACAGTTTATAAACTATTTGTATTTGTTGTTCAGTAAATCGCATATAATACGAACAATGAATAGAAGATAGCAAGTCGCTTGGTTGAGAACGCCGGTACAAAGCTCCGTGTCGTTACACCGAGTCGATAAAAGGCAACGTCCGTATAATTTTGCGTGAGACGCATAGAACTCAAGTTCAAGAAGTAAAAGTTACGCGAATATTCAAAGTTTGTACCGTTTCTCAATATTTATCTTCATCCATTATTAAGTCTCTCACTCTAGTGTTTTTACGCCGTGTTTGCTGACAGTAACACAAAATTTACCGTTGTTTCAGGATTATTTTCTCCACAAAATTAAAACAATTTCGTAATAGTCTTGACGCAACGGGAATAAATTTTGAATTATTGCCTTCTCTTTTTTCTCCCTCATTAAATTCATCGAAATTTCCGATATAACACATATCATTATCTGTCCATGCGAATGATAGGTGTACGGAAATTTCTGTTCCCTTCGCTTCTCAACCAGACAAAATTCGTCGTTTTAAAACGTTCCTTATCGGGATTAAAACAATTTTGTAATGGTCTTGACGCAATGGGACGAAATTTTTTAAATTACTTTATTATTTATTATTTTTTAAATAACCCATTTCTTTCTGTTTTATGTTTTATCGAAATTTCCTATACAACATATCATCACCCTTTATATATAAATGACAGATGTATGGAAATTTCTATTCCCTTCACTTCTCAATATTTTACGATACATGAATATGTAACCCCAGATTGCTTTTGGCCCCTGTAAAAAAGCAAATTGGGGCATAAGGACAGTGTATATCGCATTACCTATGTTTTACCAATTTAAATGTTAACTATTTAATTCTTCACACAATCGTTTAATCAACACGTATCTCTAGCGCACGTAGCCAGAGTTTACTCTGGAAAAATACGATGATTTTATGTATAATTTTCATATGCGACTCAATAGAAATAAGTTTCAACATATTTGTTCTGAAATGAAACGATGAAAAAATTATATATATATATATATATATACATGAAATATAAAGTGATCAATTCCGAACAACCAAAGATAAAAAAGAAAAAAGAAAAAAAAGAAAAACGTTATATCAATTTGTATATTATTATTAGGTAACAAGACATAGCTTTTTATTCATGATAATATGGAAGCTAAGGAATTTAATTGAGAAATTAAGAGATGGTCGCATTTCATCTCCAGGTCGTGTGACTTCACTTAATGTTTTCCTATAGTGTTCATTATATATTATAAACTGATCCTAACTGGAGAATGACCATTTTGAATCATTGTAGATAAGTATATTGCAATTGTGATCCTGTCAATGAAAATGTTACAATAAATATAGCAGTTATATCTGTCACTGCTAGGATCGCAACTATGATCAAGCACCAATAATATTCCTCATGATACCATAATACCATTAATTTTGCAAGACAAATCGTTCAATGATATGCTATTGTAATTTAACAATAGATTTCCAATAGTCACAGAAACTCGGCATTGTCCACTGTGATTATTTAGACATTCTTAGTCATTAAACGAAAGAATTCATACACAATCATTAAATACATATCGCTTATTGGTGCTTGAACGGTATTTTAATATAATTAAGACACCGCAAAAGATTAGATAGATTTACACATAATATATGTAGACAATTAATTTAAATAATTTTTTTATAAATTTATCTTGATATATATTCTTTCAATTTTTATCATATTTCAATAATAATGAATATTTAAGCAATCTAGAAACAAACACAAGAAATAAGAATATCCAGATCATATGAAACGCTTTAGATCTTTGACAAATTTTTTTGAGGTAGATATAAATACATTTTTACAATTATAAATATAGCCAAGTTATTACATAGTAGCTTTTTCTATATAGATTATGACTTTGTAAAAAAAAATAATATTCCATAAATTTTTATTAGATCAAATTCCTTAAATAAATAAAATAAGATCTAATAAAAATTTGGCTGAGAAAGCCGTAGGTGATTCCCTTGTTGCAAATAAAGAAATAAGTGTTCCAAGAATATTTCCAAATTTGAAAATAATAATAAATGAACAGTGTTAATAATATAAATTTTGTAAAGATTTTTTTATAACAATGGAACAACTTCACTTAATTTTCTTCTGCAGTGTCTTAAAAAAGCATAAATATATAACTCAACATTATTATGTATAAGTCTTAAGCGTTACTCAGTTACTTATCGATAGCTCCATCCATAATGTTATTTTTAACTTGAATGCTAATGTGTATTCCATCACCAGACGCACCTTTGTCTTTCTTCACTTGTGCTGCGTTCGAGGCATTATCAAGTCCCAATTTACTAAGAGTACGAAGCGCTCTTAGAGCCGCTTGGTTGCGACTCGCAGTTATTGTCGCCCCATTACCATGACAAACTTGCGGTGGATCGGTGCTTAGAGACACAAGTGATAAATATTCCTTGTTTATGGATACGCCCTGGAACATTAATGAAAAATAATTACGTAATGAAAAATAATTTGGTAATACATTTTGGTAATAGTTAGATAACATATTTTCTATTCATACGTATGTTTAATTTTACTTTGAAATGAATTAGAATCGTTTCAATCTTCTTTTAATACGGATCAAACAATCGCGATAGATTACCTTAGGAAAATCGCTAAATTCTACGCTGAAATTAAATAACTGAGATAAATAATGCAATTGATCCTTGGGCGAAACACCAGCTGTATTCTGTTGTTGTTGCTCACGCAATTCTTCAGCGACTATTTGTACGCTGGGTCCATTCCCCAGTTTAGATTCTTGACCTCCATCCACCAATAAAAGACCAGGTACTAACTGGCGACCTATGGTACCTAGCAAAAAGATTATAAAATTTAAAGAAAAAATTTTTAAATTTATGAAGTATAGCTACGATCGATGTTTTGCCTTACCTCCTACCGAGTGAGGCTGAGTGTCGTTCATTTGTTCGTCCTCGAGAAACGTAACTTTTCTAGGCTTTGACTCCGTGTTTTCGCTTTCTCCTGTTTTTATAGATGGTTTTGCGGGTTGTGGCGATGGTTTGCTATATCCCAATTGTGTTAAAAGAGCTTCAGCCGCAGCTCTCTTAGCTAATTTCTTGTTAGGTCCAATTCCTTGCGCGGAATGCTGACCCATCGTCACTTCCATAACGAACTCTCTGCGTCTCGGTGCGCCCTTTTCATCTATCAAATTGTAGATCGGCTCCCTTTCTCGTTTCGCTTGTTGAATTTGAACCAATCGGGAAACTGGATTGACTTCCTCCGCGGCCTCATTTTCTGAACGGGGCTCCTGATACACTTTGATTAGATTACGAGATTTCTTCTTCGTCGCTGGCGGTTTACGTTTCACTCGCATTGATCGGTTTTGTATGGTAGTTGGTAACGGAGGAAGACGCTTCAATTCATCTAACATCAATTCGGCAGCACGTTTCTTCGATACCTAAGAAAGCAGAGACATAGTTTTTAGATATTAACGATAATAATAGATCATCATTTATCATTTATATGAAAGATATGATTACCTTTTTTGAAGATCCTTCTCCCACGGTAATCTTGTCGCCAACAGTACATTTTGTCATAAAAGTTCTTATATGAGGTTTACCGCTTTCAGACACGACTTCAAAACTGACCGGTAATCCACGCTTCAGAGCGGTCTCATGTACCAGAGATACGGGACTCTTCAATTCAGCATTCGGATCATCAATTCCACTTAACGTGCCATTTTCATTGATGTTATTAGTGTTTGCGATTTCTTCCGGTAGTGGCAACTGACGTAATTGTTCCAAAGCTCTGCTAGCTGCATCGTGACGTGCTGCTTGACCTGTTAAACCTCTGCCCGTAAATTCACGTTCGCCAACCTTCAGCGTAACAAGATACAGTCCTTGAAGATCCGTATGAACTCCACGGTTGTATGTAAGTCGCGGATTGTACATCCGTGGAAAATTACCAAATCCGTGTGGCATAAACTGATGTTGTAATGCAGCTGGTGGAGCTTGTCGGAACGTATAAACAGTTGGTTCACCACGTTTCATCGCTAACGCGTTCAATTCGACAGTGGGCGGCAAGTGTCCTGTGCAAAATGTTTATGGGATCAGGAAATTCATGGCACGTGGCTTTTGCAATTGTAAATAAAAAAAATTTGATGTTATAAATTGATATTATACAATCATGATTATTTATGCGAACTAAGAAAGATAAGATTGCAAATCAATATTATTGTGTTATAATTCTATATCGTACAAAATTCATAACTTGAAATTACCAGAACCTGATGGACATTTGCCTAAATGACCGATCCTCATGGCCTTGGTGGGCTTAGGCGGAGGTTGACGATACCAAGTTTTCGTCAATGCTTCGGTCGCCGCGCTATGCTGAGCCTTTTTTATACTGGGACCTTCAGCGACATACTCTTCCTCACCTAATTTCAGGGTCACTGTGAATCTTTTTTTATGTGCTGGTCCTTGTTCATTTGTCAATCTATATTGATGTTGGATCCTATTGAATCTTGCTAATTCGTTTAACAAGCACATAGGTGTTTTTTCTTTCATGTTTGCCAAAGCTGGATTGGTAGCGTTGGTATGATTCTGATTGGACGAATTATCGTCTCTGGACTCTCCACCAACGTCGTTCGTTACTGCCTTAGATTGCTCCACGTTTGACTGCTGCGGTACATGTTGCGGTTGTTGTTGCGATTGCGATTGCTGTACCTGCTGCTGCGGCGGCTGTGGTTGTTGGGGAGATTGATTTTGTTGATTCGGTTGTTGTTGCTGCGGTTGCTGTTGATGTGGATATTGCGGTTGCTGCACATTTTGAAGAGTCACAGAAACAGTATTTGCTTGATCCTTCATGCTAACGCTAACCATAGTACCTGAAGCAAAGATTTTAATTAATTTTCACATCGATAATCGAAAACAAGAATCAAATCTTTTACTGTGTATCCTTACTTACTGTTTGTATTGTGCGTACTCATGCCCATCAACATCGGTTGTCTTGGGTTTCCATGCGGCGGACCGGGATGCTGCATGTGATGCATATGCTGTTGATGGGGAGGCATGGACAGTATTTGTTGATGAGGATTTTGATGTGGCAGCAAATGCTGAGGCTGTCGTAATTGGGGCATATTAGCCTGCTGCATAGGCCGCATCGGTCCTGCCATTCTGCAGAATCATTATTTTTACTTAATTGCAATACCAAATTGTTTATATTAATTTTTATAAATTAGCCAATGTCAATCAATGTTCTTTATTTATCATTGTTTTTATATACAGAGATGTATCTAATCTTTTTTAGTCATACTTCAAATATTTTCACTATCTTTATAAAGATGTACAGTAACACATTATACATTATAATATTAGATGGAATCATTAAGATCATTTTTGGTTAATTTTTAATAATATTATAAATAATATTTTACATGATCTGATAAAATTATTTCATTTCTACATGAGAAAAGTACTTTTAGACTAGAATAAAACTTTTTTTATTATATCTTTTATTTGATTCCGCCGTTATAAAAATATTAATACAAAATTTGATTACGGAATATTAACCTGTTATTGTGATCTCGAAGCTGATTTTGCATTGCGTGATGGTGACGTAACATCTTACGAGAATGTACACAAACCTGTAAAATGGAAAATTAATTCACTCAATCCACTGTTCATACATCTTGTATGTTGCGTTGTGCATATGTAAAATAAAAGACCTTTACATCAATACACAACTAGATAAAACTCAATAAAACATTAGGCTAAGCCTGTTTTTCACTCAATATAAGAAAGAACAAAAGAAGCCACAAAAAGCAAACAAAAGGAATGTTTTTTTTTAACAATTTATTTGCAAAAGATAAAATCAATGGAATGTTTCAACTTAATCCTTTTGAGCCATCATAAGCAACCAATTACTTTCCTTTCTCATTTTTATCAAAGTTTTAATATAAACCTATTTCATTTTAAATATGAATAGGTATTCAGTTATAAAGACCTATTTCTATCATTGTTCATACATGTATATATTTCCTTTGTGTATATATATATATATATATATATATATATATATCGTTAAGCTCTGATATAGCAGTTAGCAGACTACAAACTATTCTTCTGCCAATCTTGCTAATCAGTGAACGAGAATACGGATGAACATTCCGTAATTATCAATAAATCAAGTGTATAATCACAATTTGTTCTGTTCGTAACCAAGCCAATCAACACACAACGGAGGACGTGCTCCATTTGATTATTATAGAGGACAAAAAAGGAGCCTAAGCCAAAATTTACTTCGAATTCGCACGTGGTGCTTTCTCGCTCTTTCTTACATACAGAGACAGACGCGTTTTCCAAGAAAGAGAGAGAGACGAGAATCCTTACGGTTCGCGGGCGACTCACGATAGGCGGACGGGTGAATAATTCGTGCCGCTTGGCACAGATAACAAGACGATAACCTTCGTGCGGAAAGGGCGAGCCGGTATAACGAACGGTTTATGCGCGAGGCACGATTTCGCGGCACGTCGTCGCGGCCGCGCGCATTTCGTACGCACGATGCGTGCCCGGTTGCGACACGCGAGCGACGTCGACTTTTTTCCCCCCCTCCGTCTATAAATAAAATTTGTTTTTCCGATAGAATGGGCTTGGCCCGCGGTGGCGACGGAGACACCGACAGCGACAGCGGCGGCGACGACGGCCATCCGTACGACCGAGCCACGCCGCGCGCGCGGCGCGTACACCCCTTTTTTGTTCACTTTTCTCGCACTTACCCGGTCACGTTCGTTCTATTTCGCGGAAATTTAATTGGTGTCGCGCGACACGGTGAAATTTCCGGCGAAACAGATCCTTCACAACGCAAACGAACACCGCCAGGCCCTCGGCGCGGTATTGGCAAACAGTAAAGAAAAGTACTCTGTAGACTAAAATGCGGCCATTTTGCTGTGGAGCTAGCGGCGGAGCGTGACGTCATCTCGGTGTTACATCTTAGCGCGACGGGAGCGTACGGCTGCCTTACCGCGGAGCCGAAGAATGGCAATCAATCTTGACTTTTTGGAATTTTTATCGACAAATCTGTTTTTCAATGCGCCTGGAAGAATCGAAATGTCCCTGCCCTTTGATGACAACGACTTTTCAAAGGTCCCGGTTTGAAAAGCTAGTCACAGTCGCGGATCCCTTGCGCAGAAGAGCGGTTATTTTCAAGGTGTCCAAATTTAAATTAACGTATGCGTGTTTCGAGAAATTGTCAAAAGTGTTAGAATATATATTTCATTTTCTTTTTTTTTTGCATAAACTCCCACAAATTTTATCTCACCGAGTGATGTGATATTTAGAGGTTTTCAATTCAACTTTTGAATATCAACGTTTGACATGTCTCCGGTTTTCAAAAAAAACTCCGGTATTTTTGAATAATCCGAATATCACCGGTATACATTAATCATTCCCTAACATTTTTTATTTTTTTTCATCGATTTATAGATTTATCAAGTATTCCTTATCATTTCGACCTTTAATTTTCACATTTCGATATATTTGAAGTTTTGATAGCATGTCATTTTTAGAATATATTAAATATAAAATTTATAAACCTAATTAATAAAACCTAATTAATAATAATCTAAATGTAATAAGTAAATGAATTTCGTATTGCCAGTCGACGTAAAGTTGAGAGCTTTTTATATCACAGCCGCTACAAGAACATTTTAAAAAACTCTAAAAAATAAGGTGACGCATAGTTTGTGCTCAGAACGGCCAATTAGTAATCGATAGATAGCAGGTTTAACCTAACTCTATATAAATTTATTATAATTATTTAACAAATCAAAGCAAAATTAATAATATTCTCTAACGTGTCAATAATCCATATCACTTATATATTATTATAAGATACTATATTGAAGACATATTTTTTTAAAGTGATTAGATATCTAAGAGAGCTAATTTATTTAACGATGAAGACCAAATAAATATATCCGAAATTATGTTAGAAGTGAACATTTGGTACTGATAAACGAATTTGTGTGTGTGTTGTGTGTGTGTGTGTGTGTGTGTGTGTGTGTGTGTGTGTGTGTGTGTGTGTGTGTGTGTGTGTGTGAATCAATTTGGACTGTAATTGTAACGAAATTACTGCCTTATCATCTTTCATGAATATGAAATTTGTTTCAACTACTGGAGACAAAAGTCCCCAATATGCGCTTGCAGTGAATTCATAATGATTTAAAAAGTGCTATACGGTTTAATTATAAGTACGTCAAAGTTGATACTTTTGATATGCGCACTTTCAGAAGATATTTCCGATATTTACGATGAACAATGGAACAACTATAAGTAATAATAAACAATAATGAAAAAGGGAATAGGGATCGATTTGCAGAATAGGGATCGATTTCATCATAATTTTATAAATAAATATTTTATAAATATTAATTTTAAGAATTATTTAATTACATTAAAAAATTGCCAATTAGAAAAATTAAAATTAATTGTCCTTAATCTAATTTCTTAATTGCTTTAAATTTGAAAATATTAATTAAAAATATTTTTTTATTATTTATTATTTAAATCCATGCCTTGTGACTTTGGATAGTTCTACATTTATACAATTTTTACATTTGTACTTGCATTTGTGTTTTCATTTATATTTGTCTTCTGATATTGTTTTATATTATGTTAATATTTTGTGTTAGTGTGTAGTATCTACTTTTCTCTTGTAATATTTAAAAATAAGTAAGCTTAATCATTAAATAATTAAATATATTTCTCTAAAACAATGTTAACAAAACAATAATCTTCAAATAAATAAATAATCTTGATTTTTCTTCTTTATTGCGTTACAAGTAGGACATTATTTTAATAGAATTATATTATTTTTGTATGTCGGAATGCTAAACGCAATATTTCTTATGAATGCAAAATCATCTTCTGATTTTCAGTTTTTCATACATGTATGTCGGTTTGTTCGATGGGTTTCGTAAGATCATGTGATTTTACTGTAATTGCAAATGGTGGCATATCATGCTGAACGACCCAAATTGATCCGTTTTCACCTTTTTGAATAAGCTCGACTACAGATTGTCCCACATGCGTAACTCTGTAAAAAAGATGTTATATTTGTTGAAAAAAATAAATATAATTTTTTATTATTATATTAATAGTTATATAATATAATATTATATTACATAATAATATGATATTAATAAATTTTATATATTTTTTTATGTAGGATATTTACGTTTTTATAGTTATGGATAGTGATAATATTAATAATAAAAAAAATATTAAATAATATTTAATATTTTATTTGCATTTGATAAGAATGACTTTTAAAAGTAATATTCATAATTGTAAATTATGATAAACATGACTGTTGTTAAATATTATATATAAACGCTCCTATTAAAAATTATATAAAATTATATTAAATTTTGTATTTACTTTTGTGGTTCATGAGAATACTGTTCTATAACCTCCATGTCGACAAAATCGAGAAATTTGTTTGTTGTAACATACAAATTAAACATTTCCGTTGTTGTAAAACTAGGACACATCGTTAGAACACGAACCTTTGTTTTATCATAAAATTTCTGAAAAAAATATTACTTTAGATATCTTTTATTATTATTAAAAGTATATTATTAATAGAAAATCTTTAATAATACATATAAAAATTATGTAGTTATAGACAAATTATATGTATATATGATGACAATATGTATATATGTCTGTATGTTATATTTGTCTTTACATACATAAAAAAATTATTAAAAAAAATAATTATTTAAAAAAAATTAAAAAAAATATTTTTGTTCTTTAAAATTCTTTTATGTAAATTATTATTGAGATTTTTATATGGATGTTAAACAAGAAACCTTATTAACAAAATTTATTATAAAAAAGAAAACACAAATATATTCAAATAATGTTTTTTAGACGTGACTTTAAATAAATTAAGATATTAAAAAATTTTTCGAATATTTAAATTTTTGTTTTATTCATGTATCTCTCATTTTATGTTTCCTTTTAAATAGGATTTAAAAGAATTGTAATTGCACAAGTTTATTAATTGTAATATTGAATTCATATTCTATAAATAATTACCTCAAGATTGAGGCTAAATCCAATAACAGCATATTTAGAAGAACTGTACACTGGAGCTGTACAATAAGCTCCAAGGCCACTTACAGATGCGATATTTACTATGGTACTCCCTTTGCCCCCTTTATGTTCGCCCATATGATCCAAGGCTAAAAGTGAGCCGCGAATTAATGCTACCTGTAGAAATAAAAGATTATATGTAAATACATGTAATATATATATATGTAATATACATATTTGTGATTAACAAAATTACACTTTTATATAGATACATGGACAAGATGTATAATATTTATTGATACATTTGTTTATATCAGGTAATAATTAAATTAGTTATTTTATGAAAAACATATTGCAAAATTTTTATTTATTTTTGATCATTGTTTTTGAAGACACATTTTTTCAGAAATAAGAAACTTTTTTAATCAGTTGAAATTGACTGTTTTATTTAATGTCTAACGTTCTATATATAATATTTTATTACTTACAACATTAACAGCAAATGTTTGTTCGATACAAACATCATTCATTATTCCGGCATTATTAACAAGTATGTCAAGTCTATTAAGGATGTTAACAACTTACTTGAAGGTTTCTAAAGATTAAAGAAATTAATGTATTTATTTAATAATTTCTAAGTTAAGATGTTTTTCATTTAAAAATGTTAAAGAAATGTCATGATTACTGATGAATAGTTTCACAAAGCTTTACAAATATTTATGAGATTCAATAATTACCATTATATAATTCCATGTTCGTCACATCAACCGGAAAGAAGATGACGCATTCTTTTCCAAATTGTTCTTGCAGACTAACTACTCCATTATAACTACGTGTTATTGGCGAATCGATAATGGCAACTTTCTACAAAATTATAATAAACGAATGAAAAATATTGGTTTTTTTACAATTTGGTTTTTTTTACAATTGTAAATTACCTTCGCGCCTTTACGCAATAATTCCTCGGCAATGCAACAGCCAATGCCGGATCCGGCTCCTGTGACTAGTGCTGTTTTATTTTGTACGTTGTCCATTATGTAAAGTTATCGTGAGAATTCAATATAAGCAAAGTTGTCCACAGAAAGAAGTAGCTCGGTTACAATGCTTTTGTATGCCAAGAATTAGTTTTGCATGTAATTAAATTACAATAAGATGCAAAACGTCTTTTAGTTTATTGTTTTCATCTTACATATTTTATGATAATTACAAGTTGTAGTTAAATAAATACGCAAATATATAAAATTTAAATATTTTATTTGTTATTTATCAATGATTTATAGTATATGTGTTCATAATTATCATGTATGCATACGTATATATGATAACTTATACGTATATATAGATACTAAATTATTGTGCTTCTGTAATCGAAAGACTAACCATAATAAAAATTCTAAATGTCTTAATTATACTTAAATATTTTCTGGTAGCAAATTAAAGTAAGTTTATTGTTTTATTTTTAAATATATTTGTATAAATATAAGAAAAGATAAGATAAGCAGATGAGATAGACAATATTTCTTTCTTTATTTTTTTAAAAAGAAAGCGTTTAAAAGAAACAATTGATTCTGATTGATTCAAACTTTTTTCAGAGAAGCATCAGTCAAATATTTCTTTATTTGTAAATAAGATGCAATAAATTTTACTGTGTTATTTCTCACCTATGACATCACAATTTCAATATGGCCGTGGCAACTACTCAAGAGCCTTAAATTAAAAATAGTACAAACTATTTCAAATATTTTATATTCAATAACACATACAAAATATATTAGCATCTGCTATATATCAGAAATAATATATTATATTTTAATATACTATTTTAATAAATTATTTAAAAAATTGTAAACTATAATAAAATATTAATTTACTCGTATAGATACCCGTATGGTATTACCCGTATAGTAATTTATACGTATAGATAATTGTTAAATATTCCTAATTAGATAAAGAAAACCAATTTTACTATTTGGCATCTGGAAAAAAAATTTTGTATACATTTGTAACATTTGTAATTTTATATACATTTGTATAAAACACTTTTTATTTCAAAATTTTGAAATGATAAATAATTCATGATAAATAATTTAAAACAGGATGTCATAAAAATAGTATCCTTGCGTATCATTAAATACTCAATATGCTTTAATATAAAAGATAATTAAAACATTTTTAATATTAATAAATTCTAAGATTTCTGCAAAACTTTATCAATATAATTGTAAAATTTTTATAATTTATAATAAATAAAAAATATTAAAACTATTTTTAATACAATTTCTACATTTGTACCTGCATTTGTGTTTACATTTTCATTTCTGTTTGTCTTCTGATTGTTTTATGTTACGCTAATATTTTATGTTAGTGTATAGTACCTACTTTTTCCCTTTGTATAACATTTAAAAATAAGTGAGCCTTAATCATTAAATAATTAAATATACTTCTCTAAAACAATGTTAACAAAACAGTAATCCTCAAATAAATAAATAACCTTGGTTTTTCTTCTTTCTTGTGTTACAAGTGGGACATTATTTTAGTAAAATTATATTATTTTCATATGTCGGAATACTGAAGGCAATATTTCTTATGAATGCAAAATCATCTTCTGATTTTCATCAGTTTTTCATACATGTATGTCGATTTGTTTGATGGGTTTCGTAAGATGTGATTTTATTGTAATTGGATATGGTAGCATATCATTCTGAACAATTCAAATTGATCCGTTTTCACCTTTTTGAATAAGCTCAACTACAGATTGTTCCACATACTCTATAACTCTATAAACTCTAACTCTATAAAAAAGATATTATATTCACCGAAAAAAATTAATATAACTGTTAATGAAAATTATATATATATAAAACTGTTTATTATTATATTAATAGTACATAAAATATAATATAATATAATATTATATAATAATATGATATTAATAAATTTTATATTTTTTTTATGTAGGATATTCACATTTTTATAGTTATGGATAGTAATAATATTAATAATAAAAAAAATATGAAATAATATTTAATATTTTATTTGCATTTGATAAGAAAGACTTTCAAAAGTAATACTCATAATTGTAAATTATAGCAAACATGACTATTGTTAAATATTTTATAAATTTTATAAATGCTTTTATTATTTATTAAACATTATTATATAAAATTATTTTATTAAATTTTATATTTACTTTTGTGGTTCATAAGGATATTCTTTTATAATCTCCCTATCGACAAAATTGAGATGTTGTGCTGTAATAAACAATTCCGTCTTTGTAATATGAGAACACATCGTTAGAATACGAACTTTTGTTTTATCATAAAATTTCTGGAAAAGATATTTTCTATTTAGATCTTTTATTATTATTGAAAGTATATTATTAATAGAAAATCTTTAATGATACATATAAAAATTACATAGTTATAGACAAACAATATGTATATATATCTGTATGTTATATTTATCTTTACATACATAATTTTTAAAAAATTTTTAAAAGATATTTTTGTTTTTTAAAATTTTTTATATAAAATATTATTGAGATTTTTATATGGAATTTATATGGAATTTAAACAAGAAACTTTATTAACAAAATTTATTATAAAAAAAGAACACAACGATCATAAATATATTTAAATAATGTTTTTTAAACATGATTTTAAATAAATTAAGATATTTAAAAAATTTTTTCCAATATTAATTTAAATTTTTGTTTTATTTATGGATATTTCTCATTTTATGTTTCCTTTTAAATTTAAATTAAAAGGGGGTTAAAAGAATTGTAATTGCACAAGTTCTATTAATTGTAATATTGTAACAATTGAATTTATATTTTATAAATAATTATCTCAAGATTGAGGCTAAATCTAATAACAGCATATTTAGAAGAATTGTACACTGGACCTATAGACAAAGTTCCAAGGTTTGTAGATGCGATATTTACTGTGGTATTCTCTTTGTCATCTTTATGTTCGCCCATTGTGATTCAAGGCTAAAAGTGAGCCGCGAATTAATGCTACTTGTAGAAATAAAAGATTATATGTAAATACATGTAATATATATGTACATGTATACATATTTGTGATTAACAAAATTACACATCTATATAAACACATGGACAAGATGTATAATATTTTTTGATACATTTATTTATACCAGATAATAGTTAAATTAGTCATTTTGAAAAACATAAAATGTCTATTTACTAATCTATTTTTGATCGTTTTTGAAGACACACTCTTTCAGAAATAAGAAACTTAGTTAGTCAGTTAAAATTGATTGTTTTATTTAATGTCTAACATTTTGTATATTTATATGTATGTTCTATGTATGTTCTCTATATTTATATAATGTTCTATATATAATATTCTATTACTTACAACATTAACAGCAAAATGTTTGTTCGATACAAACATCTTTCGTTATTCCGGCATTATTAACAAATATGTTAAGTCCATCAAAAATTATTAACAACTTGCTTAAAGATTTCTAAAAATTAGAAATTAATGTATTTATTTAATAATTTCTAAGTTAACAGATATTTTTTATTTAAAAATCTAAAAGAAATGGCCGAATTCGGCTCCTGTGATTAGTGCTGTTTTATTTCATACGTTATCCATTATATAAAGTTATCATGAGAATTCAATATCGACAAGGTTGTCTACAGAAAGAAGTGGGTTATAATACTTTTATATGTCTGTAATCAGTTTTGCATGTAGTTAAATTACAACAAAATGCACGTGTCAAGTTTTTTAGTTTACTATTTTTATCCTACATATTTTATAGTAGTTACAAATTGTAGCTAAATAAATATTTACGCAAACATATAAAATTTAAATATTTTATTTATTTGTTATTTATTAATGATTTATAGTATATATGTATATAATTATCATGTATGCATACGTACATATGATAATTTATATGTATATACACATATTAGCAAATTAAAGTGAGTTTATCATTTTACTTTTAAATATACTTGTACAAATATAAGAAAAGATAAGATAAACAGATGAGATAGATAATGTTTCTTTCCTTATTTTTTAAAAGGAAGCGTTTAAAAGAAAAAAATTGATTCTGGTTGATTCAAACTTTTTTCAGAGAAGCATCAGTCAAATAGCTTTTTATTTGTAAATAAGATGCAATAAATTTTACTGTGTTATTTTTCACCTATGACGTCACAATTCCAATACGGCTGCGGCGACTACTCAGGAGCCATAAATTAAAAGTAGTACAAACTATTTCAAATATTTTATATTCAATAACACAAAATATATTAATATCTGCTATTATATTTTAATAAATTATTTAAGAAAATTTTAAATTGTAATAAATATTAATTTAACGATAAATGTATAGATAATTGTTAAATATTCCTAATTAGATAAAGAAAACCAATTTTACTATTTGGCATCTGGAAGAAAAAAATTTTATATATATTTGTCTAAACCACTTTTTATTCAAACTTTTGATCATTATAAATAATTTAAAATAGAATGTCATAAAAATATATTCTTGCGTATCATTTAAATACTCAATATGCTTTAATATAAAAGTAATTGAAAAATTTTT